CATATCAGGAAGGCTGGTTGAGTTTGACAAACTCACATTGACACACATTTATTGGACACAACACAAATGTACTATATCAGTCTCTCTCACACCAGCTCAATGTGACATGTACACCATGGACCATTCTGTCCCACACCTCACATTTGCAAAACACACAGATAGATTTGGGCCCATTTATAAAATCATGTCAGCGCGCAGCCGATTGGCAAAAAACATCTGATCGATCTATTTTATTTTCACCAACACTGCAGTGCTACTCTAAAACTTTAACATCTGTTGTGCACACTCAAAGAAAAATCCAGCTGGTACCTAAAAGCACTTCTAAATCTTTTTCTTTTTTGTCCGAAGAACAACCTACAGCTATTACAGCCCTACAGGAGGTCCCTAAGACACTGTGGGCTGTCGGTAAGTATGATGTTGGCCTCATCAAAGCCTGTGAACCTTTTGTAATCACTCCAAAATCAAACTTTAGACCTTGCAAGGCTCAATATCCACTTAAACAAGAAGCCATCGATGGCATAACACCAGCCTTTGAGTCTCTTAAAGCAGCAGGAGTAATTGTTCCCTGTGATGACTCTCCAATGCGCATACCTTTGTTCCATTTTGCTCCCAAACTCAACTGCTGTTTGTAAATGCCTTGCTCATACTAACAACTCAGATTCTGTCTCTCTAGGAAAAGCAAGAGGTGATGCCGCTGCAAAAAAAGCTGCACTCCAACCCACTATCCTTGATCCCTTGTTTGTTTCAACTCCAGTCTCTATTCCCAGCTCCCTTACAGCAATACAGTCCTTTGCCACACCACAAGAAAAGACGTTGTGGCGCGCTGCGGTGCCACACAGGAAGAAGCAGTGTGGCGGGGACCCGATAACAAACCTTGCCTGCCCAAATATTTCTTTCCTCACTTTGCAAAACTGACACATGGATTGGACCATGTGTGAAAAGGGGGAATGCTGGATGCCATAACTCAACACTGGTTCACCAAAGGGTTTTCAGTTCATGCGCGGAAGTTTTGTCAATCATGTATGGTTTGTGCAACACATAACGCAGGTAAAACCAAAACAATCACACACGCCGCTCACCCACCACAAGACAGACCATTCCAACATTTGAATACCAACTAAACTGAGCAGCAATAATGGCTCACACTTTGTCAATTCTGCAATAACCCATATCAGTGAATTTCTTACCATTGACCTCAAATAACATTGTGCATACCACCCTGCCAGTGGAGGTGCTGCCGAACGAGAAAATGGCACTCTGAAATCAAAATTGGCCAAGTGTTGTGAGGAAATGGGACTGCCATGGACAAAAGCTCTGCCTATTGTTCTAATGTGCCCAGAGTGAACACAAGTCCCTTTGAAAGTCTTTTTGGCAGACCTCCATCCCTAGGAGTGGAGCCTGTAACCAGGCCACTCCTCTCCATTGGCCTATGTGAGGATGACATGTTACAATATTGCAAAAACTTATCTTCCACTCTCTCTCAAATCTCTCAGCTGTTGAAATTAGCCCTTCCACCACCAGCTTCCACATCACTCCATGATTTGCAACCTGGCGACTGGGTGGTGATAAAGGACCTAAGAAGGAAACACTGGCACTCCAAACGCTGGCGAGGTCCATTCCAGATGTTCCTGACAACGCATACTGCTGTGAAGATCGCTGAGAGAGCAACGTGGATTCACGCCAGCCACTTCAGGAAGATCCCTGAGCCAACGGAGGAGCTCAGCTGTCGATGCGAGGACGGACAACGCAAGGACGGACAACGCAAGGACGGACAACGCGAGGATGGACAACGCGAGGACGGATGAGTGCAACAGAGGACGGCATGAGGAATAACTCTGTGAATTCAACAGACACCAACCAGACGTGCAGGACTAACAACGCAAACCTTTTCCCACCAGACTACACCATGTACCACCTGATCCTGACCCTATCATGTTTGGCTATGCTGACAGAGGCCTACACCTACAAATCTGCCAAGACTGTCACTCTGACAGAAGGACAAAGTGCAACATTCTGTACTGTTTCACCCCGGAATTTGGCAATCAGGTCAAATTCACACATATTATGAACGTTAACAATGCCAATCAAAATTCAGCCTCATTTCACATTCCTGATCCCCATCATTACCCCAGCTCAGACTCTGACTCTGATGATGACATTTCATAAATAATGTTTTCCTTTTTTTTATGTATATAAAAAAATATGTGTAAAAATATACATATTTTTTGTTTATCATTATTATTATTATTATTTTTCTTTTCTCTTTCTTTTCCTTCCTTTTTTTTACCCTCTCTTTTCTTCTAAACAACTGCCATGATGATACATTTTAAAATCCATGTGAATTAATGTGTCGGATAATTAAGTTGTAACTATATATATATTTTTTCCTTTCTTTTCTTTTTTTGTTTTAGTGATTAATCAATAATCAAAAGGGGGGAATTGTAATTGTAATTTCATTTTATTTTATTTGTGTATTCTTTGTGTTTTCAAATACTTCAATATATACCTCTTAACCTCCCACCTAGATACAAAATCCTGCAGGATACGCCAGGTGTGAAACACACCCTAGGGGGTCAGAGCCAATACTTGCAGCAGATGAAAGAGTGTGAAAACAATGGGTAGGGGCGCCGCTCCCTGCCACAGACAGAAGGGTGTGAGACACACCGTAAGAGGGGGTCATCAGGTATAAATGTTTAAGCTTCCCCATGCTCGGGGTCTTTCTTCATTCTGACCGCTCATGTGCTGATTGACCTTTTTCTTTGCAAAGAAAATAAAAACCTTGTCGGCCGGCAGAAGTCTCTATTTTATTATTCACCAGCAGCAGAGAATTTCCCCAACAAGTGCTATATTGAGGTCCTCACCTTAACTTTGGTGACTCTCTTCACAGTCATCTGAAAGCAGCAGGTATCTGTTTCATCTGCAGTCTTTAACTGGAGTGATGTTGTTCACTACACACGGCAGATATGCTGATTACATCTTGTGCAACCAGAATCATTCTCTTGTAAAATAATCACAGATTTCCATCTTGTTGCTAGCCTTAGCATAAACATTATTAGCGTAGTTAGCAATAGCATTACATCATCATAAACACGCTCACTGATCACCCTGTGCTTATATGACAATCAAATGTGTTATTTTGATTAGGCTAATTATTCAAATGCACATAATAGGCATGTTAGAGACAGAAGCATTGAGAACAGGTCACATAGCTCTGATGTAACTCCCTTAAAATTTCTCGCTTCGCTTAATGCTCCCTCTGGACTTTCTGTTCCTGCCAGTCTGTCACCTGCTGTCTCTATCCTAAACACCGGGTGACTGGGATAAAGGCTGTATACATCATCTTTTTTTTTTTTTTTTTTTTTTTTTTTTTAATATGGCTGGCAAACATGTTGGCTAAAGTTCTACATTTTGAAATAAAAATACAGCTAGATGTGTGCCTGTGATGAACAAACATGATGTGCTTGAGATAGGTTCAGGTTCAAAGAGTCAAGTGTACGTTTCCTCTGAGGAAACTGTTGGTGTATCATGATGGGGACATAAGCGAATGTGAAGAGCCATGATTGCCACAGCATCTAACGTACCCACCTATAACACTGTGTTCTTTCTGACTCCACCCCGTGCCCAATTTCACTACAGGTGTGCCAAGTGATCCTGGCCATAGCATTACCAAAAGCATGTTTGGCACACTCCCGACACACTTGGCAGGGTGCACCAGACTGGGATCTAGTCATTGCTTGGTTCACCATAACTGAACCTGTGGTGTCCTCTTGTCACAGAGACTCTGTGTGCACATGAGGATACAACTTTACCACTTTATTACCATAACACCTCAAAGTAGTGGGCCAAAGAGTCTCATTGTCCCCCATGTTCTGCTACCAGAGCTTGGCAGAGCACAACATCACTCCAGTCAGAGAATGCAGATGGAACAGATACCTGCTGCCTTCAGGTGGCAAGTCACCAGTGTAAAAGAAAGGTCCCTAACAGGACTAAGGCGCACCAAAGAACACGAGTGTTGATCCATATAGGTACTCCTTGATCTGACATTTTCAACTTAAATCAGTAGCTTAAGTTAACAGGATGTCTACGCATGCTGGCATGACACTCCTGGTCTCTGATAAACATTACCAGAAGGAAATCACTTTTTCATGATTAACTCTTTATCGAGAGATAACAAAGCTCATTTTACCAAGATAACAAAATAATTAACTTGTGATCTTGAGATAATGGCAATGAAAAGAATAATTGTAAGCACGACTGTTCTTGGCTTCCATATGATAGTGCTAATATTGTCAAGAAATATATTGGTTTTATCTATACATTTCTGTTAAAAAATACTGTGTATCTATCACTTACATTAAGTCATATCTGTATTATCATTATTATGTGTAATCTTATACTAACAATATTAATGTTGATATTAATATCAACAGTATTTTAACAGTATTTTCTGTTTTTATTGAAAATATTGTTGCAAATTAGCAAATCTCACAATAAATATAACATATGTACTATGTAAATTGTAAATGGTTTAATCTTTAAAGAGAATACATTTAAATGCAGTCACACAGTCACAACTATAATGCAACCTTTTTGTAGTTTTATGAATTATTTGTTACTTCTTCCCTAATTTGATAACAGCATTAAAACACTGATTCATACATTCATTCATTAAATATAAAAAATATTACATCAGAGTAGAGAAGCTGGAACATATGTGCATTTTTCAAGTCCTCAATCTTTAAATGATGACAGATAATTGTGAGCTGTAAAGCCCTCTGAGACAAATTGTGGTATTGTGGTACTGGGCTTTATAAATACAAGTGAACTGAATTAAAGTGAATTCAATTCAATTAGAAAACAATGAAATTAATGAACTAAGTACACTATTGAAAATAGTATTTATAGGTTCGGTTGCTGTCCTCTCTATCTTTGGGCTGTGGATCTTGACAATAAGATTTGATTGTGCTGTAATTCTGGTGTTTTGGTTCCGGTGACCTTACCTAAGCAGTGGGGTTCCTTGCCACTCCAGTAGGGGGTGCTAGCATTGCGGCAGGTCAGCATGCTGGGGCCTTGCAGCTGGTAGCCGGTCAGACAGGAGAAGAAAGCCTCCCCTCCAGAGTGGAGACTGCTCACTGATACATCACCATAGAGAGGTCGCTGGGGGAAGACACAGCCCAAGACAAAGGCTGCAGACGCAGACAGGGGAAGAAATGGAAGAGACAGAGATAGAGAGATATAAAGGCAGAAAGAGAAAGAGACACAAAGAGGGAGAGAATTATGCTGAAGGGAAGAGCTGAGCTTTGGTCTGAGGACTCAGTGAGTTAGTTTAAGCTGGAGCTTCCTTCCATACGGTCCTGAATAAGTTCTAATAATAAATGGTATCGTTCAGGCTATAAATGGTTTTGGTTAGGGGTCATGAAGAGGAAAAAAAATCTCAAAAAGAAAAAAAAAACAGGCTTTAACAGCTTATCAAATTAACACATTCACTCATCCAGATTTGGTGGCTGGGCATTGAGAGCACATTACTGGCATGACTTTAGATAAAACACCAACTTTAACAGCTGAAGGGGAAAAAGCTCCATTCTGAAAAGTAAAGCTGCTGCCCTCAGTCAATGTTATGTCCCTGAATTTCAGGCAGTGCAAATTAAAACGCTTAAAAAGAGACTGAAATGGGTATAGAAAAATTATCAAATAATAGCCAAAGAAATGGAAAAAAGTGTGGGAAGCTGAGAAATTCCTGGTTAAATAAAAAACATTACCTGTACTATAATGGCTCACATGGTAAATTCAAATCCAGAGCACTAACCTCATCAGTACAACAACAGAGTCATGTCATACTCACCACTGCTGCTCTGACTCACTCAGTTTAACAGGGTTCCCATACATATTTATGGACAAAATGTAAAAAAAAAAAAAAAACATAATAAAATTTCCATGACCATTTACAACATATATCATAAACAGAACTGTATAGTACTTAAAGGAGCTATATGTAAGAAATCTTAAGCAAATAGTCGTAAAATCCTCCTAATATGTCACAGAGACTAAGGAATAATGTTCATATAACATACTGATCTCACCGACAACAATAGTACAGCCAAAATATTCACATTTTTTAAAAAAATTTACGGTCTACAAATCATGTTTATGTTTTGAATTTGTGTTTTGGTCTGTTGCGCCACCCACCGCTGTCTACCAGTCACGCAGTCAGTAGAGTCTCAGCATCAGTTAAAGTTACAACTGAGCTACAATGGCTGACGGTGCGACTAAACCCAAACGACCTCGTTATGATTCCCAAAAACGCCAAGTCAAAACTCGAGGCAAAGCGAGGGTCTATATAGGAGATGCTTTTGAACGTTGGAGACGGTTGAAAGTTGAGAAGAATTTGAAATCGGATGTTGAAGTGGCTACTCTTCTCCTCGACAGGTAAGCTTTAGTCAAAGTTGGCTAACTAGAATCATAGCATTTCGAATACTTTCAACTGTTATTCATTTTCAATCATACATTGTAGCCCATGTGCAGGTGGGTCATCGACCCGACTGATTTTTTTGAGAAACAAACGTTAGCAGCACAGCAAGCAGCATTAGCAGTGTCCCGGTACATACCATTAGCGGCTGGCTCCTCCTCTGCTGTATCAGGGCAACAGCAGAGAAGCTGTACTTGCTCGAACGGTCCGCTGCAAAACCAAAGATCAAGGACATGGCAACGCGGCCCTGCCACTGCAGCCACCCATGGGCAAACAAATCACCCCCAATTTCCACCAGATGCGTGTTGGTTGCGCATGGCAGCGGAGCCGATAGGATTCAATTCTAGTCAATGTGTGTGTTTCAACTGGCTGCGGCTGTGCTGTGTTCCGGCTCCGTCTCAGCTGTGGCACTCTGGAGCCCTCCGCAACAGATACGCAGGACTTCAATTTTTGTCGTCAGTCTCCAGCGTGCCGCTGTCCAGCAGCCTCGAATCTGTAGGGGAGGGGGGGCGGACACGACTCGCGGCAGTATTTTGAATTTGAACGCAGTAACTGTTTTGACCACATTCTTACTAGACTCACAAGTCAGTCTTTAGACGCTATGCTTAAATAAGGAATGATGTCTTTCTCCCTGATTTTGTGTTTAGATGGGTGGATACAATTTCAGAGTTTAAAAAAACTCCCTACGTTGCAGAACCAATAGTAAATCTGCAGGGCGGTCCTTCGGTGGCTCGCTGAACTCTTGTGCTTGTAAACATAGTCCCACTAGAAACACGTGTAATGGTACAAAATGGCTCAGCCACGCTCGCAGAAAATGTCGTCAAAGTTAGTGGATGTTTGTCACGTTAGATGATGTTTGTCGCGTTGTTAAAGAAACAAACATAATCTTTTACAAGGCCGTGACTCATCCCTCTGGCCGGACTATAGAGGGAATCGCCTTGTTGTTTACAAATACTTACAGGTAGAAAACCAGCAGAGCTTTTAGCTATATATATAGCCTATATATCACATTTTTCACATCACTGTATCACCGTTTAGACTAATCCGATGTTTGTAAAGTCTATAAACACAATGATTGAACAAACATTACTATTTCTATGTGCACGTTTAGCTGGGCTAACCGTTAGCTGTTAGCCCTGTTAGCCGTTAGCGTTGTCTGTAATAGGTAATTACTCATTAAGCGGTCCGTGAAAAAAATATCTTTTCCAGCGGATATCTTAATTACAACATGATTGAGCTAGCAAAGCAGTTTTGTGTTGCTATGTGTGGTATTTATTCAGTTTTGGGAAATCACGATGTCTAGAAAGCATCAGTGGCTGCAGCTGACAGGGACAGCTAACACTAGCAGCAAAGCTAACAACAGGACGTCATCTGTTAAAAGCCTCCCGTTGTCGGATACGACATGAAACTACTCCAGTTAGCTCAATCGTGTTCTTTACGGATGAGCACATGTTTAATTAAACGGAGTTAAATCTCTCGGAATCCATTTTCAAGCTCTCTGTGTGTTTGTTTCCTTGCGGACGAGAAAAGGAGGAGCGCACATTTCCGAGAAGGCGTGTCCTTTTCAAAAATGCAAGAGGCGTTGCTTTGTTGCCGGCCGTTTTCGCCGGTGTGTTAAACACACTTTAGAAAGGAGTGTCCCCAGACTATCAGAAGGCGGAGATCTCTGATTGTCTGGTGGCGAGACTACATTCTTACATACAGCGCCTTTAACTTCAAATGTTAATTATATTATTATAGGTGGTCCATGGATATAGAGCAGTAGAGCTCCCAGGACTGGGGGGTAACAGCCGACTGTTTGGTTGGCCTGAAGGGTTCATTTGTTTGAATATTAAAAAGAAAAAGTGCTCCGTACTTTAAAACTACCATGCTCTATTCAGAGCCGTTATAACCAAACCAAAGGGCCACTGGCTCTCTGAGTGACAATAAAATGCACTAGGCTGCCCATGTAAATTGCTCAATCTCAAAAATGTGGTGCACTTTAGATCTAACGCCCAGCGTTAAACATACTTGATGGTATCATCAACACATATTAGAGCTATGTTACGTACACAGCTACAGCAAAAACAAATGCCATTATGTCACACTATGTGGAGGGTTATCAGTGGAACATTACTGTAAAAATGTGTTGTATCATTCACAACAAAATTCCATGATTTTTCCAAAACATGCAATAATTTTAGTAATTCCATGACTTTTCCAGTCGGGGAAAACAAGATTTTGGAATTCCAAGACTTTTTCAGGTTTTCCATGACCATGGGAATCCTGATTTAACACAAACCCTGTTTGTATTCACTGCTTACTTTCAAATGGTCTCCTCTGTTATTTTTTTGTCAGGTGCTGAGCAACTGTAAATTCAACAAACTGCAAGTTTTACATTAAAGGAATACTACAAAATGACCATTTGTACCGTGTTACTCTAAATCCATGCCTCCACGGAAAACAGCAAACATATTGATTGACTGACTGATTAATTAGGGACCATGTTAACAACAGCAAAACTAAATCAAAACATCAGGTTATAAACTCTCACACAACTTGTGGACTGTATTCCAAGTTTCATTTATCCAGTCATTCAGTGGGCCTACTGCCCAAACACAATTTTGTGAATCCTAGAATAGCAAAAGAATGGCCCACCTTACTTTGTCTTGCTCTGTCTGGGATTAGCTTACCCTGACATTCTTACCTCAACCCTAACCAATCCCACTCCTCTTGCCTTAACCTAACCATTCAAACCAACAAAAGAAAAGGGTACTAGCCAAGGACAGTAGGGCAGGTCATTCTTCTTTCACTGTCCTAGGATTTGCAAATTTGCCTCTCAAAGACATGCATTTTTTCTCAGACCTTATTATTTAAAACTGAACCCAAAGTGAAACTTTTCAGGGCTCTCTTCAAAGTCCTATTCCATCATTCCAATTTTTTTTCACACAAAAAAAGGAAGACGTCACCACCGTCCAAAGCCAAGCATAAAAAGCACCACCAACACTTGTAAAATACACATAAGAGCCTACATTTTGCATTAATTTAGCAGAGCTGACAGAGAGGTGACTGGAAATGTCTGCACTTAAGTAATTTGATTATGTCTGTTTTAACCGGTAATTTCCCCCCAATGTGAAACATCAGCACAGGAAGTCTCGTTTTATGGATAGTAACAGTGATTGAGGACAAAAAAAACCCAGCTATCTGGAAAAAAATGAGCAAATGAACAGTTTTTTTCTTAAACCTCTTGAAATTATTAGGCTTTTCATACTGTATTTACAGCATCGTATTGTTGTAAATGTGACCCCATAGTTCCTGATTTTCCAGTCACTGTCGAATGTATTTTTAATTAAGCTGTCTGCCTAAACAGAGGTTAACAAAAATACACAGCAACACCAGTGACATTTAGTGTATCAGTATCCCTCTGTGGCTACCACCTTTTGACTGCTAAGGTAGCATTTACACCCATAGACTATACAAAGCCCTGTCACATTACAGCCAATATGTGAGAATGTGTGCAGACTGACTCTCAGGTGACCAGTTAACTAACTGGCTTTTTTATTGCCTCTGATCTGTCTTCCTTCAGCCGCCTGGCATTGGGCCAAACATATTAATAATATATTTCTGCTAAAGACTCTGATCCATCTCACTGTAATTGTCCTAGTTTTATTGTTAGCCCTCGGATGGCTTGGCAGTAGAGCTGCTATTGATTCTGTCTGTTGGGGACAGCGCTGTGCCTCA